ATCGTTTGGAGCGAATCAGGAATCATTTCCTTGAATTAATGACTAACAATAAAATCAAAAAAGGGTAAACACAGTACTTACAACACTCTGGGAGGGAGCTGGAGTAAAATCCTTTGAAGAATTTGATATAGTGTCATCTTGATCAGCGAAGTGCCCAGACATAACTATAAAAGATCGCTTGTTTAGTGTGCGCAGCACCTTAGACGCTTAATCATCTGCTGAGCTAATCAGCTACATTTTCGAATGAATACGTATTTTCTTGAACTTAAAAAAAGAATTAAGAACTCAGATCTTTTACTGCATAGCTAAGCAGATGACTATACGGAACGTATATGGGGTGCTCGAAAAAATGTGCCCATTGTAGTGACATCGCTTTTGCTTTTAAATTTTTTGTGGGCAACAATACTTCATTTTGGACGGTTACCCCAAACCTAGACTTCAATGAACAGCTTTTTTACTTCCTCCATTACGTAAGATTGGTATAAGCTATATATGGCTACAATTCAGGCGTAAAGCATCATTGGCACTACCCCGACTAGGGCTCTAAATCAAACAAAAGCACGACTGAGAAATGCGAATTATCTGTTTTGGTTTGAGTCGGATTATGTCATTTGATATCGTTACGTTCTGCACCAATGTAACGCAAGTGCTTAACGGCAGCGCCAAAGCCAAATGAGACATCAGCCGTGATCCTGCTGTATTGCCAAAGGTGAAAGATGCGATCGAGATGTAAACGCAAATTCTAGTTATCTCTTCAAAATAAATTATTGAGTCAAAGATGTTTCGCAAAACATAATAGATATTAAAAAACAAGCACTGGGCATATTATTGGGATAGCCTGCCTAAAAGAAAAAATCCCGCTCTAAAAAACTCGCATTTCTAAGGCTTTGCTTATTTTTAGAAGCTTCAAAGGGTAACCCTGCCTTACGATAAATGTCCGTTTGCAGAATATCAAGATCCTTCGCAAAAATTAATTGACAAGGTTTTTTTTGACATATTAACCACGTATCCTTTATGGAACCCGGGAAGAAACTAAAGCGACATAGATGATCAATATCCCATAACCCCATATGCAAAGATCATTGAAATTTGAACACAAATTTTGGAGATGATGGAGTACCTTCTCTGTCCAACTAACGTTCTAACTCGATGACTTCTACATCAACTAGATCACAGACTGAGCAAACAAAATACTATATTATTCTCGAAAACATTTCAAATGTTTTTAGAATAATCTTAATTTTTGCAAGGCATGGAAATGCATAGCATTTCCATGCCTTGCATAAATTAAGATTATTCTAAAAACAGAAAAATAATTTTCGTTCTTACGACCAAGAAATTAAAAGCCACTTTTATTTCCCTCTTATAAAGCAGGTTTTCAATCTCATATTTTTTTGCAGATGCGTAATAAAGTATATGTGCTCATCCTTATTGAACTCCCGAGCTTGCAGTCAGTGTAACCCTGCCTTAAGATAAAAATAAGCAAGAGGCGAGTTAAGTGATTGTATTCTTTTTTTGTCATTCTTTCATCGACTGATCCATATTGCTCAGTTTTTCATCATGTTTTTATTCATTCAGCAGAGAAACTGTAGTGAAGTGCATCACAACTTCGGGAAAAATTATGCATGTCACAGAGTGGATGCGACAGGCCTTGGATGTCAACCCAAAATAATGGTTCGTTAGCATTGGCGCATCAGATGCCTTGAACGTTGATGTTATATACTGCTTATTATAATCAGGTGCTGGAACTGTTCTGAAATTCTTTTGAGAACTGCCGCAAAGATAGTTTTTCGTTTCTTATTATATTTCGTTAACTCGAAGGTTAGATGTGTCATTATATGGGTG